AGACGACGGTCAAAGATCACGTCTACTTTGTGCTCCCTTTTCACAGCCTCATACGTCATGCATTGGTCTACATACTTTCCCGACACACCCCTGCGCTATCCTCCCTCGTTTGATGCGCGTATCGTGCTCTATCCAGGGACGCGAGAAATTCGTGACTACTTCTCCTGGCGTCAGGCCGATAGTATGTGTCGCATTTACGGTACACCCAGCTATTGATTGGGCGTTAGCGCACATCAATAATCTGTACAACACTGCCTTTTGGGCCCTCGTTCAACAAGGCGGGCAATCAACAAAAGAAGCCCACGAGACGCTACGTGTACGCCCCGAATGACTGTTTCTCCGGTCGTTCTTACCGATTGGTGTACCGTAAAGGGTACGGTGTCCAGTCAGAAACATGAGATACTCTTTTCGCGATTCGGTATCAATTATAATGCTCTTCCCTTGCGGTTCCGCAAAGGGAGCGTGTTGGCCAGGGAAAAGGTAACGCTTTAGGTATCTCTTTCGTGCTCGGCTGCCGATGGATTTGCGAGTCAGCTCTTAGATGGCGAGGCAGATACGTTACCCATCCTAGAGACATCCAAGGCCAATACCCTTGAGGTCCTAACACCAGTGCGTCTATACTCGACTGGTTGATTTTCAGCCTTCCGAGTACCCACCTGCTAGAATCGCCCCAACATCGAAACAGCGTCAGGATTGCCTGAAAAGCAGAAAAAACGACAGGCATCTACTCGAATCACGTTACTCCACTGTGACATTATCGGTGACGAATTCTGGGATCAGAGGCCGTACTTGTTGGAAGGCTGAGATTTGAAATAGAATTTGACGATCCGATGTGAGATGGCGGTACGCAGTTAGTAGTTCTGAGCGAGATAAGGAATATGCATGTAGATGCAGCCGGTAGCACTCCGAAGTCACGGAAGCCAACCATGAACGGCCAAGTGCGAGGTTGAGTCTCCATCTGGTCAAGGAGCAGGGAGTGCAACCTGGCGGGCGGAGTTGACGGGACAAGACAATACAGTACGAGGGGAGGGTACTTAACAAGGTTCAGGTCAGGACAGCGCTTGACCCATTCTTGCCTTGTACAGTGCGGTGCATTGACGTTGACGTTGACGTTGACACTGACACCTGGCCGATACTCTCACACTGACCTGTCATTGACACGCAACCCCCGGCACAGCTTTAGCGAGCGAGATCATTATCAAGACGCCCATCGAAGCTCGGTATCTATTGATAGCTATCCGCCCCTTGCCACGTCCAAGCTAGTTCTCTATGTGAGTCGGGTCCAAGAAGCGACTGGTGTATACTAGTACTAGGACCCAACGCCGCCACGACAACCCGGAACATCATAACAGCGGTCGTCATAGTCAATGGACCTCCGCGCGATCACCGACCTCGACGGGGGGCGCTTGCAGTCGGGTAAGTTGTTGTTTGGATCTGTGGGTCCAGCGTAATTTTCCCAAGAGAAGAAGGGAATGAATAGGAGGTCCTAGCCCTAACACAGACAATAAAGAGCGAGCGAGAGGAGAGCCAACCCGATGGGTTGTCTTGTGGGTCCACAAAATTTCCCTCGTCTGGCCTGTCCGACATAACTTGCACATGCGCTTCTCCGCTTTTACTCCCTCTCCCAGCGTTGTACAACAACAACGTAATGCTGACCAACTTGTCCACTATTCCACAGCATGGGACCCCGGTGTCTCTCTCCCCCAGCGCCAAAATGGTGCCCCCTCATCGGCGCCACTGTCTACCCCGGCTGACGTCCCCACACGCCACAAACACCGCGGAGAGAGGTACCGTGTCGCAAGGAACAAATCCTCCGATGCGGAACAGGGCGCAGCCCACGGCAATGATGATCTCATGGGAACCCATGATGGGGACCAAGCCGAGCTTCCCTTTGTCCCCCGTCGTGCCTCCCTCGATTCCCGATTCAACAATCCGTCCGATCCGCACACAGCGCGCCTCGCACCCCTCTCGGGCGTGCCTGCCGCATCATCTACCACTCGCATCGCCGCGCATCCAGTACGTCGATCATTCCTTTTCGTCTTTCCCTCCATGGCGCCCTCATGCCACCTGCCGCAAACCCGGCTATTTTCTTTTTGTTTGTCACGCTTTATGATCAGGCTTATCGCGTCCACTCCGACCATGACTCCGACCGTGGTACGAGCACGAACACGACCCCTAGCCCCCAGATGGCCCGTCGACGTGCACGACCTGACGATGGCGATGACGACGAGGGAGGTCGAGCGGAGGAGCGCGAGCGATATCGTCCGCGTTCGCGCCATTCCGGCGCAGAACGGGGCATATCTCTGAAGCTCTCCCCCCCGCATCTTCCGCCGAAACTTTCCCCTCGCCGTCGTTCCCCCCAGTTCCCGCAGAGCCCGGGTTCGGACAGCGCGAGCCCCCAACCTCCCACGCAACCAGAACCGGCCGCCCACTCTAATCCCGGGCGCTACCTGGGATCCGACTATGGCCGCATTCAACTGGCCGATCCTCAGCAACATGACAACGCTACTACGCCGCAACAGTCTCCGACTCGGGGAGAGTATCACCTGTCGGGGATGCTTGTGCCTCCGCAAATACCCGATGCGGCCCATGCGCGGAGCCCAAGCGTCGAGTCAGTTGAAGAGTGGGCTAGATCCCCCACGCCACCACTCCTGCCACAGCCAGTACAGAACAAGGCGACCATGCCACCCGTCTCCCCCGTGTCTACTTCTGCCACTACACTAGCCTCTGCCCCTGCCCAGGCTGCGCTGGACGCGGGGAGCCTGGGTATGCTAAGTGACAGCGAGCTTGCCGACGAGACGGTGCACTTGCGCGCATTGCTGGGCTGTCCACCCGGCGCGCCCGTAGGACTCGACGCGCTCGCGGATCCTCCTCCAGGCGAGAAGCCGAACTATCCATTGCCGACGCTTATCAAGCTCGCGATATACGGTAGCCCGCGGGGCCGCCTCACCCTCCAGGAGATCTACCAAGCGCTCGAGGATCGATTCGAGTGGTTCCGCCAGCGGACCGATGAGCTTTCTTGGAAGGTAGGTACACCGTCTCCTTTTTAAGAGTAACAGCGAAGCAAACGTCTGCATCCATAGAACTCCATTCGGCACAATCTGTCCCTGAGAAAATGCTTCTTAAAGGTCCAGCGGCCTATCACGGAACCGGGCAAGGGCAGTTACTGGATGATCGACCTCACGCAAGGCGAAGGCAACAAACGCGTGCGCAAGCGCAACAAGAAGCCGACCAAGGGCCAGCTCGCTACGCAGGCTGCTGCGGAGGCATATCGGGCGTCTGCGCGGCTCCCCGGACATGGTGACGGGCCGCGTCCGACACCGTACCCACTACCGTCGCAGTCGCACACCCGGTCACAGGTTGTCGAGGAAGATCCCGATGATGACCAGTACCAGGCTCCCCCGATGCAAACAAACTTTACGACTACTGCTCTGCCCGAAGAGCCTCTTCACTCCCTTTCGCAAAACTCTGCGTTGCGGCATCCAGGACCCTCACCGCGTCAGCGACAGCCTCCGGAACAGCTATACCAGTCGCCACCGCCATCTGCAGACCACGCCCCGCTGTCGTTGCACCAAAACTCTGCGCAGCCCCTTCTCTCCTCTCACACCATCCTCGATCTCGATGCCAACATCGACCCAGCGCTGCGTGCCCCATCCAAGGATGGTCTTACTCACGCAAGCGCAGGATCGATCACCGAATTGCATCATGTGACCCATCCCCAGCGCGGCCCGGGCTCTGTGCAGCTCCCCATGCCCATTAATATGCTCCCTGTCGGCGCTGCCCCTACTCTGCGCAGCCAGTCGGTCGCTGGCTCGTCACAGATCCAGCAGCAGGCCTCTGCAAATCCGCAGGCTCAGATGGTTATCGCACATCCATCGTTGGCACCACCACATCCGACATACAACCACTCTCTCCTACCCCATCCAGGGCCAGGGCTACAACTATCTCAGGTGGTCTCTGCGTTGCATGTGCCCCAGCATACGCAATCCTTGCTCCAACAACATCTCCAGTCCATGACGACCCTGCCACAGCCGAATGTACACCGCCAGACCGTGGCAGTTCAGCAGACTGCTCCCGCGCAGGACCAGACCACCCGCCTTCCGCCCATGCGCACGCTCAGCGAATCCCCCGCTCCCTCTGCGTTATCGGCTGCTCTGCCACAGCAGCAACAGCCGCCCTCCTCGAGTGGTGGCAACGGTCGTTCCCAGCAGAACACCGTAGCCGGTTTCGGGCGTTTCGCCCATGCTTCGGCTGGCTTCGCAGAACCGGCGTTTGGTAAGCCCACGGTCCCGGTTGCCCCATTGAGCATGCCCACACGCCCGCTGGCTCTGTCCGAGGTTGTGCGCGACGCGAACAAGGGCAAGCGCCGCGCTGATCCTCATGCCGCGGGCGACCACGTAGGCGACGACGAGCAACGGGGCAGCAGCCGACGGCACTTTGTACCGCCCCCGCCTCGGCCCGGGTTCGAGTATGTTAGGACCGGCGGGGGGCTCCCCACGGCGCGGCGGACGTCTGGGCGGTACGACGAGCCCACTGTCGGCTGGATCAAACACCTGGATGGCGGCGAGGAGAGCCAGGGCGTTGCTGCTGGTGTCCCCTCCCCCGAGCGTGACATATCGTAAGTTGACGTTGACCGGAGATTGGCGGCTCTTTCATATCACTCTATTTTCCCTTTCTCATACCTCTCACGGATCTGGTCATATCTACTGTATGATGCAATTGGATAAGTGTACGGATGGAATGCCTCTTTTTTCGCTGTCTTTGCTATCTTTATGCTGTCTATCCACCCCTCCCTCTCGTGACTATCCTTATACACTGTTCTATCAGTCATCACATACTTCATCCTGCTCTCGCATGCTCGCATATCGAAACGCTGTATATCATTCGGCACACACACGCAGTTACTAGTTACAGAATCATAACAAAAGGACAGTGGATCCATCTCGCTCGCGTGCGTGTTCCAACACCAAAACAAATGGATCCAAAAAGTGAATTCCTGACTTCGGTGCGGGGAATCGAACCCCGACCTCCTCGGATCGCAAAGTAAAGAAGTGAAAGCGAGGTATGCTAGCCGTTGCACCACACCGAATTAGTCCAAAGTTGTGCCAACAATGCAGGGCTGATTCGCAACCGCCCACTGGCACATATTCCACCTTGCGCGGTATTAAGTGCTATAGCACGGGATAATGGGGTCCGTTTCTTGTCGCCAAGCTTGGGTAAAGAAGAACACTTTCAGCCAGAACTCCAATTGAAACCTGACGAAATGAAACATCATCTTCTTGGCGTAAGTCCGAGCCAGGTCACCCGACCATCTGATTGTGGAGGCGGGGCCTTCTTTGTGTGCACTGTAAGCGAGATTTTTATGAATCACAATCACATACAACTCGGGTTCACGAACCCACTCCCACACAATTTTTTCTAGGCGCCAATTTCTGGGCAGAGCACATCTTTCGGCTACTGAGGCCGCAGATTCCCCAGAAATTAGCGTCATGAGTGAATATCTTCGCGTTACCAGTTGCCAGCGGCAGGAATGTAACTTGACAGTGGCGTTTCGTGCTGCGACCACTGTACGTACTACACCGCGCCCCCTCCAACGCCATATGGCCGCGTACTGTATTGGAAACCCGAGAGGCGTGGACGGACACGGTGCGATACCATGTGATGCAGCGGTGATGGGTGGTAAATTGCTGTCATCTAGAATGGGGTCGATAACGCCATTGGCGTCTGCTATTGATTTAACGGTTATCGTTTACCCTTTTGCTGTCGTTATTCAGCTGGCGCCTGACCAGCCACCGTGGCGGATGGCATCGGTTATACGCAAACCTGCTACATGTCCGCCTATGCAAGGGCCGCCATAGTGCCGCTGAAATTGATCACGAATGGCCAGGTCATAGAGTGTCGGGTGCCCGTCTACGACAGGTGGATGTGTCCTGTCATCGCGCAGAGGTGGAATTATGCGGGGGAGCTGCTGTGTGTTCCCACGGGATGTGTTGGCCAGGGCTGTAAGTGGACAACGTTTGCGGTGGGGGGACGGGGCGCGTGAACTGTATGAACATGTGAATGTCAAGGAATGTATGCGTTGCGCCTGCGTGGACGTGCGACACTGTAGTATTGCAATCTCTTTGCGTAACTCGAGCTGCTCATCCATCATGTGAAAGGTTCCCACATTTGGTGCCTGAGAGAAGCCAGTCGCAGGGGGATTAACCGGGAATTCCTACCCCTGGTGATGGCTACGCGGAGGACTCGGATATGACGGCTCTCTATACGAGGTGTACAGTACAGTACAAGTGCAACTGGCCCGCTGCCAACAAGGTAGTTTGGGTACCTCTCAAGGCCGTAGAGTGAATTCCCTTAGCCCCGCCTGTTGCTGTTGCCGTTGCCATACACTCCGGGGAGTCGACCAATTTAGGGAGTAAAAGCAAAGTGCCGTCCGCGGTAAACTCGCCCGAAAAGGGGGGATTTGCCTTTACCGGACATACGGCATGATATTGAGGTACACCTCGGACTCTCGGAGGCTCAGCTCGAGCCGTCTCAGACACCATTCGCATATTTAAATCACCATTGATTCTATGATTTTTTTTGGACAGAACCATCAAGAAGTTCTCCCTAGCCTAGCACAACCGTGACCAAATGGCCGCTACATCCTCCACCCCAGCCTTCCTCAACATAACCGCGCTCACGGCGCAGAATGGCCTGTCCGTTCTCGAGTGCTGGCAGATCTTGCCCGCCTTCACTACTTCGTCTCAGACAGGTACAGCTGGCGCGAGCATCCTGCAGCTGGGTAACGTCGCCAATATGAGCTACTCGGTGCTTCCGTCTGGGTTCAATGGGGGCCTCCACAATGCGCCGACTACACAGTGCGTCTTACACCACCCTCTCGCCCCCCTTTCCCCTTCTCCTATCCTCTTATACTGACATGCATGTGGTTGTTGGAAAGGTGGGTCGCGTTCCTCTCTGGCCTCGCACATATCACATTCCCCAACTCAACCACCGAGGCTTTCATTCCCGGTGGCGAGGACGGGTTCATCTTTGCGGCAGACACGGCCAGCGTAAGCGCGAAAGGCCACATCACGAACTATCCGTCCGGCGAAGAGACCCGTGTTCTGCAAATTCCCACGGGTGGAACTATCCCTCAACATACGGTGCTGTACTCGGGCCCGTGTGCATGCCACCAACCGAGCAAGCGTAGTCTTGACGACCTCGACTAGCGAGAACGTCGCGCTCGTTACGCTCCGTTTTAATCTTTCATCTGGGGTACGTGCCGTCCCTTCGCCACTAGTATTGGCCCAAGTGTGATGCCCAGCTCATGGAAAACTTGGCAGGTTGCACGCTACCACACTTTTCGACACTTCGAGAACTACTCCTCGTTCTGCTGTTGTTCATGCCGCCCGCCTACACACGCGTTCAATTGTACCCGCGTTTCTTCCCACTCCTATCTTACTCCCGTCTTCTTTTTCATTCTATGTGACGTTTCAGTCGAGTGAGTACGAGTATAATGATCGTCTGATCCGCTCTGCGCAAAGCTTGATCCGAACCGGTCGCCGCGGCCCGTGTGGCATGCAATGTTCATACCATGATGACACCTCTCATTGGGCGATTGCACTCACGGCCGGGGATGCCGTGGTTTTGAACACGGGCCCAACCTAGACCCTTGTTCGTTCGCTTTTCACCAGCCTTCTCTGTCCCGACACCCGCGCGTACAACGTCTGATGCACCGAGACGCCCTTTTGGGGAAGCGGCCTGCGCTTGGAGGGTTCGAGAGCCCGTCATAAGTGATTGACTGGCATGGACGCAAGTCACATCGTGGAAAGAACCAGAGGCCCAGAGCACAGTGAACCAGCTGAATGGGGTGACATGTCAACGAATGCATTCGCTATCACATAAATGACTAGATGACTATCGTGACGGTCATGGTTCCGAAACTGCCTGTCACAAAAATTGCTGAAGGTCCTGTAAGTACCGTGAAGCATTACAGCGGACAAAATGGTACTCTTTTGTACGTGTCCCCTACATGTTCACACCATCAAAGCTTGGTGTTTGGCACCTTTCACATATTGGCGCCATCGCCGCTGCCACCAACTAAACGTTATCAGCGACCGCATGGAACTGCCATGCTATTGGCGTCTGCGTCGACACGTTGCAGCTTGGCGGCGGCGTGACCACATGGCATGTCCAAACTTTAAGCAGAATCTAGACTGGACATTACCTACTTAAGGGGTGACAGGTGCAGGCGTAAAACAGCGTTTATGCTTGTATATTCCCAAATTAATTTTGAAGGTCTCGAGGCACTCATCTGAGTCGCCTCATCTGCTGTCGTCGCTCCCGGCGACTTCAGTTGGCTGACCGTTCTTGATCATCACGATGTGATGCTGCGGCCCACGTCAGATGGTAGAAGTTGTCATACTCTATACTTTGCTATGCTGATATGATTACTACACACTAGAGCTCGCAAATTGGCTTTCCGGCGAGTCCTTACATATGCACGTCCTCCGAACTTATTGTCTTCTGTAAAAAAACCTTTGCACAACTTGAACTTGTACATATACAGCATGTCACGGCGTCCAATTTTTTCACAAGCTGACTAGTCTTGCTCAGCTTACCCTTCTTGCTCCGAGTCGTCGGATGCTACAGTAACAGCAACAGTCAAACTGATGTTCCAAGGACACAGGCCCGTCAAACAGCGCCATACATGTAACTTATTACAGTGCAGTACTTACTGTATTGTACCTGGGTGTTTCCTCGACGACATGCCGTATTTTTCTCAATGGCGAATGTCGGTCTTTCGTCCATCGGTCAATGTGGATTATCGGACATAGGCTTCGGCATATTGTGTTCAAGCCAATTATAAAAACAGTACTTTTTCTAGCAAGATGACTTCAGGAGTCAGGACGAACGGTGTAACAGCAAAACTGTGCAGGGAAAAAAAGACGTCGGGGGACAAAGGCTGGGCGGCCGGCGCTGACCGTTATACACCTGCAAATTGTTGCCGCTCCCCCCCAAGCGATAAAAGACCCCGCGCCTCTTGATTGCCCTCTCGTTGTCATGAACTGACTATGACAACCATATATTGATTTATGATATCTCGGTTCTAGTTACTACAGCAATAGATCCCGACAGAGAACCGGGAAAAAAAAAGCATCATACCAAGCGAGACAGGCACCTTCCTATAAAGCCAAAACGAGACAGAAGGTAAACGGGGGCAATGGTAGGTGGGTATACGGCGGCCGGGATATGCCGGGAGTCTCGCCGAAGATCCAAAGACTCCGAGACCTCACAATTTTCAGCGCCCAGCACGGGAGAAATTGGGGGGAGGGTGTGGTCGGAAAAGGTGGCCTAAACAAGAAAACGATCAAGTTGGGGGGGTTCACGAGTGGTATGCAGGTGAGAGAGTAATTCAAGATGCAGATGCGAGGTGGGGAAACAAGAGAGAATGGAAAGGTAAGGGTGAGCAAATGAGCAAGGATAGGGCGTAGCAATAAAAATGATGAGGGAGTGTGGCCGTGAGCAGGAGTGTCAACGCATGTCGTTGATGGTTACGTAAACGTCATTGTAGTTGAACGCGCATGGAAGGATCAAAGATAAATAGGGTGGGTACTTATTTGAGGATGGGAGATTGAAGAAACGTCCTCAGGTTTCGGGTGACAGTGGATGGCGCGGGTAAGGCAGCGCGTCTATACGCACGACCCCTCTATCCTCCCGGCGCACATCACCGACAGACCCATCCGGTTTTCCGCCCGTCTTCGCGCCGGCGAACATCTCATCCGGCCCAAGGGAACCAGCCGAATACGGGGGCTCGGAGTTCTTCGACAGTTCAAGCGTGGTGTCCGTGACTTCCGTGACATTGCCAACGATAACGCCACCCCTGCTGAGCCCGAAGCCGGTGGACCAACGCGTGGTGACGCCGGGTGGGCGTGTTGTCCGCGTGCGGAACTTGAAGGACGACCAGCGCTGGCCGTCAGCGTCGTCGTCTGCACTACTCGAAATGCGGCGGAATGAGGCCGTCGCGACGACGGGAACGTTGGCGACAGTGAGGGACATGCAGTCTTCGACAAGTGCGGAAATGACGACAGGGATGCCACCCTCGGTGAT